ATACATACCAGCTACCACATCGGGTGCTGCGCGGACCTCCTCCGCTGTCAACTGGAAGGCTCTCCCGCGAGCCTTCGGCGCCTCGGCCTTCGCCGGCCGACTCTCTGTAGCTCGAACAGCAGGCGCAGATCCCTGCGCTGATCTCTGCAGTAGCTGTGGGCACTCGGCCTTCCGATGGCCGGTCTGGTTGCAATGAAAGCAAACCGTGAATCCCTTGGGGCAGTCCCTCGCATAATGCCCCTCCTTCCCACACTTATAACACACCCCAGCTCTGCATGTCCCCTCGTGGCTCTTGCCGCACTTTCCACAAGTGCGGCCCTTCGGACCCCCAGATCTCGAATCAGCGGGCTTTGCCCGCTTGGCTGCCGGCTGAGACTATGCCGGTCGCCGATCCACCCTCTGAGACTCGGCCTCCTCCCTGGCCTGCGTCTCCAGCTCAATCTCCCTCTTCCGGGTAACCACAGTAACCGAATCAGTACCCTGTTTGAGGGTCAAGAACTCCTGAGCCAATCGCTCCCTCTCCACCGGAGGAACATACTCATCTCGAAACATCGTGGTGAACCTCTCCCAGGTCACCGCAGTCAGCTCTGCAGTAGTGAAGTCTGCCGTCACAAACTTCCACCAGTCCTTCGCTCCCAAGCGAAGCTGGTTCAGCGCAAACCGAACCCTCAGATGCTCTGGACACGAGCAGGTATAGAAACAACCCTCAACATCGGTAATCCATCTCATAGCAGCAATCGGATCCTGCGTCCCATCAAACTCTGGTGGCTTCGTGTTGCTGAACTCTCTGTACAGCAACGAGTCACCCCCCTGCGGCCTGGCAGCAGCAACGGCTGCGGTGGCCGCAGCAACAGCTGCATCAGTAAGAGCGGCGTACCGCTCATCAAAAGCCTCCATCATCGTGGTCTTGATAGACCCGAACATCTCTGGAATCTCAGCGCGGATGGCAGCAGCCACCTCATCATGAATCATCTGGCGGAGCTCCTCATCGCTCACAACCCCCTCGCTAGTCCCTGGCCGGTGGCGCGTCCCAACCATGATGTCTCTCTGAAATACAACACAAGATATCAGAGACTCGCTCGAGTATACTCGCACTCGATAACTCAACCCTACTTGCTCCTTAGTACCCAATGGATTCTTACTTAGGGTGCACACTGCTCCGTGTCTTAGTAGTACGGGCCCTATACTACCGTCCACACCGCATCAGCATTCACTCTAAGTCCTCCTCCTTGGATTCCAGATCACAAGTACACTACATCTCACTGGCATAGGCTACCCTTCGGTAGGCCTCCCAACAGCTCCTCACTGCTACCTATTCGCTCTCAAGCATCATATAGCAGCAAAATCATTCCTAGGCTAAGGCATCACAGATCAGGCCACTCTAGTCCTAATATGATCACCTAGCCTACTCTAGCATGCATAATATCTCATAATATCTCATAACACATAAGGTAAGGGTATTTTGGGAAATCACCGTTCGGGCGCTGGCTGATCGTACACACTGCTTCCTTCTGCCTTTCTCAAAATCTTTTATTCTTTTAGAAAAATTGTTTATTTTATGAAAACTTTCTCATCTCCTCAGTTTGAGTTCGGATTCATCCGAAGATGCACCCGAATCCCTCAAACCAAGGCTCTGATACCAACTTGTAACACCCAATTTTTCAAAACAATTTTTCATTTCAAAACATACTTTCCACCACATAAAAATCACAAAATCATAATAAATCTCTGTATCATCACAAAACATGTCCCAAGATCTCATATAAATAAATCCTCTCTCGTGTGTACGAATCATGCCGGCGCCTTCCCGCGATCCTCACTAGTACCTGAAACACATCACACAACAACTGTAAGCATAAAAGCTTAGTGAGTTCCCCAATATACCACATACAACACATACGCCACTCGAGGCTACAATACGACCCTCCGGTCCGATGTGTCTCAGCGGGACCCTCCAGTCCCGTAGCTCGTTGGACCCTCTGGTCCGGTCATAGCTCGTTGGACCCTTCGGTCTGGTCTGTATCGTTGGACCCTTCGGTCCGGTCTATATCGTTGGACCCTTCGGTCCGGTCTATATCATTGGACCCTTCGGGTCGATCTATATCGTCGGACCCTCCGGTCCGGTCTATACAAAACATAGCATACATATAACACAATGCACATAATCTCATACATACACATAGCATACAAGACCCTCTGGTCTACACATAAATACCACTCTAGGTAATGTATAGTGAGAAGACTCACCTCGGATGTCTCGGATAATATCCCGCCCGTGTATATACTGATCTAGCCTCTGCCTATACACATAACATAATCATCTCAATCAATCACGACTCTCTAGGCTAGACTAGACTCTCACATGTCCTCTAAGAAGGCTAAAAGGCTATTTTACCCTTCAAACAGTCCACAAGTTCCATTGTTGACCAAACCCAAAAAGTCAACAAAAGTCAACGGTCAACCCTTAACCAGACTCGCCGAGTGCACAAATGTGACTCGGCGAGTTTAGTCGTGAACTCGAGTCCTCTATCCCCCTTCTGACTCACTGAGTCATTCCCCCAATTCGGCAAGTCACTCACAGTGTGATTCACGGGAAACCCTAACCCTACTCGCCGAGTCTGCCCTTGGACTCGGCGAGTTCATGTCATGCACAAACTCAATTGACCTCCTGAGGTCAGATCTGTTCCTTAGAACCATAGATCTGACCTTCCCAAGCCTGATAATCACGTAAAGCTTGGATCTTGACACTCATGTGACGCCTAGGAGGCTTTACTTGGTGATTTAGCCCCAAAAACAACAACCTGAGCTCATTGCCTCCATAGCTCAACATAAAGCAAGCTGGAATAAGCTCTTTAGACCACTATGGGTCCAGATCCGAAGTCTCAAAGTGAATAGGGGCCATATTCTCACAACTCCTTCCAATAAAAGACATAAAAACTCTACATCTATGGATTCCTTCAACAAAACAGATAAAGGGGCGACATAATACCTCAAAGATGAAGTCTTTTGCTCGAAATCCCCAGATGCACAACCTCCTTGGTCCCCTCCAAGCTGGAATCACCTTCTTCTTGTAAGAATCAATCACAAAGATCAAGAAATGGCTCTTTTCCTCTCACAAACGCTCTAGCTCTTTTAGGGTTTCTCTCTGGGGTTTGGTAGCCGCAAGTGACGGCCCTAAGGGCCTTTAAATAGGTCCCAAACCCAAGAAATTAGGGTTTCATTAAACAGTGTGGACTCGCCGAGTCCACATATGGACTCGCCGAGTCCAGTCATTAATCCAGTCCAACAATGCGCGGCTCTACTCGGCGAGTCTAAGCGCCTACTCGCCGAGTCCCTCTCCAAAACTAAAAAATAATTAGATAAATACAGTACCTAGAAATCCGGATGTTACATCTTGTATATGAAAGTATTTCCTTGATATAGTATTTATAGTATGTAAAATCTCATGAATATCTAGTAAACTATACCTATTATAGTTTTTCCAAAAGTGTGATTCGTTTGTATGATAAACCCTAGTGTAGTGTCGACTTTGTATGTAAAGTATAACATTTGTAATAACATTATTGAACATTTATACTCAAAATATAAGTAAAGTGTTTGATATTTACATAACAACATGTTTCATTCCAAAAAGACAAGTGTTATCGTGATATGTTGTATGAGAACGTTTTCGTACGATAGTTATAAATCACATATGATTGATTTCATAACAAGAAGCATAGCAAAAGATTGATGTTTTTCACACGAGGATAATCGTGTGTTTACTTGTATTTCTCCCCCTTAAAAGTGTATAAAAGCATTTACAAAGCATTTGAAAACTTAGTTGTAGGGGTATGAACTCACTGATAGATTGAAGATGTGAGAAAAACTGAGTAGAACTTCGACTTGATAAAGTTGATTTCTCAGGATTCTCGGGAATCTCGGGAGTGTAAAACCTTCCTTCGGAAACTTGGATGTGAAGACCGGGGCTTTGGGATGGCTTCGAGGGTTTAAACGCAGAGCTTCGGCACGAGAAAGAAGAGAATTGAGCAATGAAACCCGGAACCCTTTGAGCTCTATTTAATAGCCCAATTTTTGGGTCCCACGTCGTGGCAAAAGGGTTGCCCATGTCGTGGAGTCGATCCTATCCTCTTCCATGGACGAGACGTCTGCTGCCAAGCCTGAAAACCCATCAGTCATGATCCCACGTCGTGGCCCTCTGTGCCACGTCGTGGCCAGCCTGACAGCCTCAGATTTTGTGTCTCGAACTTGTAAAATCCGTAACTTCCGCGTACGAGCTCCGTTTTCGACGTTCTATATATGCACGCGTAGGTGAGAATATGCTCTACAGCTCTCGTTTAGATTTCGTCGGATAACTTTGACTTTATTTTTAATTAATTATTTTTAACAGGCCGGGACACGAAAACTCCGTCATATATCCATAACTTCTTCATCCGACGTCCGTTTTCGCCAGACTTTTCACCGTTGCACTACTATTGTTGAGATCTTCGATTCTCATTTAGGTTGTTTCGGCCAAAAGTCTCTCGATCTCTATTTCGAGTTTTTAGTTGTCTACTGCTATATCCGGAACTTGGAAAAATCATAACTTCCTCATACGAAGTCAGATTTGGACGTTCTTTTCACGTACGTTTACGGTTTAATGAAATCTATAACTTTCATTTAGATACCTAAGACTAAAAGTTATTGTATTGAAACTTCGCGTTTTACGTTTAACAGTATTGACGGTTTTGCTGTGTATCTTAGGTTGGTCATAACTTCTTCGTATAACTCGGATTTTAGTGTTCTTTATATTTCTGAAACCCTTGACACGATATGTATCATTTATGAAATCCAGTAGAGACTTTTGAACATTTTATTTTTGACGATAATTTCATTATATCCAAAGAGATTACAATACTTGACTTTTTAGGTCATTACATTGATTCGAAATATCGGGTTGTCACAGATAACATGGGAATTGAAATCGTGTCCATCCTCTAACTCTCAAGCACGTGAATTTGATGAATTGGCTTAATTTCAAAGTGGAATCATTCCTGCCAAACACCCAACCAGATAGGTGGGTATGTAACATCTCTGGGGACGGGGTTTACCACGTTAATGTGGTAAGGGAACAAATTGATAAGGAGAGCTCGAGTATTGAAGGAGGGAAGATCGATTGGATACCGGAGGTCCCGACTAAGGTGCGGTGTTTCATTTGGAGGGCAATCCTAAATGGTATCCCAACTGCATGTGCTCTCCAAAAGAAGGGAATCAATCTCAATTCAATTAAATGCAGCTACTGTGATCTGGAAAGAGAAGATACTGATCATGCTTTGATCAATTGTTCGATGGCAGCAAAGGTGTGGGAGGCGATGTTCAGGTGGTTTGGCATTTCTCAACCCCAATTTGGGAATTTAAGTGACATGGTGAAGTTTTGTTCTACATGGGGACGATGCTTAAAGAAGAGGAGGAACTTCATTAGCATTTGTTATGGTACTACATGGCTAATCTGGAAAGCAAGGTGCGACTTTATATTTAATAAGATTCGGATATCACCTAACCAATTGGCGGGAAACATTCAGTCCATGGTGTTCACATGGATTAAACATAGGAGAGTTAACTGTTCCTATAAATGGATTGATTGGTGTACTAGTCCTTCCTCTTGTATGTAAATATTTCTTGTCTACTCCTTGTACTTTTGGCCTATAGTTTCTTACAAATTGTATGTATGGTTTTGTTATAAATCCTAAAATTGGGATTATAAGTGATTTGTTTGGATTTAAAATAATGAAAATATTAAATCCACCGGAGAATAATAGTTGGCTATTAAACTTTGATGCAATGTTTTAAAAACCTGTTTGAACCGGCCGGTCGAACCGGGAACTGGGGGAGGTAGCAGTTCAACTATCACCAGTTTTATATTGATTTTTGAACCGACACGTTTTAAAAAAACCCGGTAGAACTGGTCAAAATAAATTGGTTGGACCGGTTAAACCGAATAAAAAGAAATGAAAAAGAACCTTTATATAATAAACTTTGGTGATTTTTTTTCAAATATATTTAATTTTCTCTAAATAAAAACATATGATAAATGTTATAAATTTTTTTGGTGTGTTTGTATTCATCTAAAATTATATTTCGTTTCGGTATTATACTTTATTTTCTTTTTGACGTATATGGATTGATGTAAAACATTAATACTTATGACTATGAGTTATTTTAATGTATTTGGATTTAACTACAACTTATTTTATGTGTATCTTTAATGTTTGAATTTGTAAACATCAAATTCATAATTTATATATGTATATATGTGTAGGAAAATAGAAAAAAACATGAAAAATATGGAAACCGGTTCACCCAACGATCGAACCGGTTAAACCGGGAACCGGTCACCAAACCGGTTCAACTAAAAAACCGGTTTTTAAAACATTGATTTGATGAATTAATGTTATTATGCCAACTCTAGTAATAAGAAAGTAAATGATATTGGTGCGCTAATTAAATTGCTAAGATAAACGCTTTAGGGGTAAAATCATGGATTTTTACAATCCAAATTGGTAATATAATGGCATGGATAGGAAGTGAGTTAAAATACATAAATGGAATTTTGTCAATGAGTTTTTAAGTAAAATGATCCTTAGATATACGATAAATTCACCTGGGAGTATTAATAACCATATAAGGCTTATAGTAACGTAAAACCGAATATTATTTGAATAAGATTTGTAAGGCTTTGATTGCTCTACAACCACCATCCACCATGGCATGTTCAAAAAACACCGCCTCACCATGGTGGCATGTCGAGGAAAGAGAAAACTCATATCAATGCACCGTCGATAAGAGATGAGAGAGAGTGCATGTATGTTTTCAATGTCACTTTTGATCCAATCTTTCAAAAATATCATTTTAAACCGTTCCACCACCATGACATGTTGGGCTTATAATGTGGAAAAATTGACGTGACAGTGACCTAACTGTCAAAAAACTAAGATGGTATAGTATCAAATATGACACCACTCATTCGAGCTAAAAAAGATGTAATATCATACAATCAGTGCTATTATTTTATAAATAAGATTTGACAATTAATGATGTAATGTTGAAATCTAGTATTGGGTCATTGAAATAACACATCTATTGTCATCTCATCTAATGTATTATTTATGTTTAAATCATAGACTATTAGGTATGCACAACATGTTCAGCCATGTTATAACATCATTTTGGTGACACCTCACATGCCACATCGTTATTGATGCTATAACACCAATTAAGGAAATGGTTAACATGTTATAACACCCATTAATTATCATTTCTTATTTATTTATTTTTTCGATTTATTTTTAATATATATAAAAACAAATGTAATTTAATAAAACATGTTATTTAAATAAAACCTAATTTTTAAATTAAACATAAAATTTAAAAAATAAAAAAAGATATTACAAGACGAAAAAAAATACATTTTTCCCCTAAATTCAATATTTTTTTTATCTTTGTTACCATCATACATATAATCCGCAAAGTATTCTCGAAGTTGCATTTGTTTTCGTGCGTTTTGATATCAACGACTCTATGTAAATATTCTGTTTTCTTTGGTTGAAATTGCACGGGTATAGGTTCCATAGACATATATTATGCAATATTTCGTCATTTATCTTCGATCATCATGTAATGCATTATGATACATTCATACATAATATCTTGTAGAGTTATTATCTTATATGGTCGTGTCGCATGTTCAACTTGTGTCATTTCGACTTTAGAACTCCAAAAGCACGTTACACATCCTTACGTGCTCCTTCTTGTGTCCTCTTAAAAACTTTGTCTCTTGGTTTTACTGGGTGTCAAAATGCTTTCACAAATGTGGAATATGCAGGATATGTTACATCCGTAAGGTAATACCTAAACGTATATTTACTTTCATTCATTGTGAAAGGAGCATGTGTTGCCTTTCCTGACAAAAGAACATTGAATAATGGTGCCTGATCAAGAACATTGACATCGTTGTTGGAACCCGCAACCCCGAAATATGCATGCCAAATCCATAAATCTTAAGATGCAACAGCCTTTAATACTAACGAAGGCGCTCCATGCTGACCACTTGCATGCTACGCCACGAGACAATTTCTCCATTTTCAGTGTGTGCAATCAATGTTTCCAAGCATATCCAAAAAATCATGTATTTCTTCATATGCCGCATATAGTTGTTGCATATCATTCAATGAAGGTTTCCGTAAATAAACGTCACCAAATGTTTCAACAAAACCTCTTGCCAATCTATACAAACTTTCTCTTGCAGTTTTCTCAGACATTCTCATATAATCGTCAATAGAATCAGACGACTCCCCCATAGCCATCAATTTAATTGCCGCAACACATTTTTGCAACCATGTAAACCTCGCCTACCTCTAGCATCATATCTCGTTTGGAAAAAATCATACCTAAACATATATTTAAGACAAAACTTCATAAATGGTCCTTATAGTTTCACAAAGTCTGATGTTTCATCCCTAACTTTAAAAAACCTCACGAATGGTCCTTGTGGTTTCAAAACTTTTAACAAAATGTCCTTATTGCTAACTCCGTCAACTTTTGCCCTTTAAGTGATGGGCATTTCCGTCATTTCACTACTAGGGACCATTTATGAAGTTTTTCCTTATTTAAAAAATAAAAAATAAAATAGAATTATTCAATATAAAAGATCTCTTTCTTTCTTTCTCTTTCTCTCACTCTCTCCTGATTTAATGGCAGATGAGAGCAAAGACGATCATGGAATCATTGCTAAAAGAAGAAGAACATATCCTAAATCGAGTTGCTCTCAAATAAACTCAGATTAGTGCAGCTAAAAGAGAATCACTCACATCTACTGTTTCTTCTTCTTGTTTCACTAGATCTCACTACTACAATCGATCATGGATCCCATGTCTTTTTTCGCTCCTATATTTTCTGGGGTCGACATATAATCAAACAGCTTGGGGTCGACTTTTATTGGTATGGGACCAGCAAGCACTTCATCTTGTACCATGATGAACTGTTTGCAACGAGAACCTTCTCTATGATCTTGACCCATAGTGGGAAGTTGTATACAAAGAACGGAATATTTTGATGCTACGTGAAGAATGGTATTGAGCCACAAGTCTGAAAATTGAGCCATAAAACTAAACATATCTAAAGTCGACGAGATGGTTCTAAATAGTTTGCAACATACAAGAACTCTAATGAGTTCGTACAGGAATAATCAATGTTCTCGAAGATCTGGTGTGGAATTTTCTTGTTATTACTTGAGCTTCAAAGATTTGGGTTTGTTCTTGCAGATGTGTGTTTACTTGTACACACCATGTGTTTATTGAAATGCTTGACCAAGAAATCAAACCCAATGCAATCATACACACACAGTCGATTCTCACATTAGGCTTTGGGGTTTTTAGGAGGGATGTTTAGAAAAGATGAAGAGGATGATTTCTTCCCTGTTAAATTCAAGAACCGGAAAGCTTTCAACTTTCAATGGTTGAGAGATGTGTGAGCATTTAGCTGCGAATCATGTTTTGGCTGAGAGATATATGGAGAGGGATTATTTCGATTTTATTGATTGGTGACTCTTTTGGGAGTGATTCCAGTTTCTTCAGGTGTGCATCTGAAGTCGTATTCCAATCTCCTGGTAATCGTTGAGCAACACTGATGGCACATCAACAACTTCAGATCCAACTTCGACGATTCCGGTGGTGGAGGACGATGCATCGCTAATCAAGCTATCTTCAAAGCATTTGTCAGAGCAGCCCACGTATGTTTGGACTTTGATGATGCTCCTGGATTTCAATTCAAAGGGAAAGGGAAAGGGGATTATGGTGTGTATGAGAGAGAGAGAGAGATAGATAGAGAGAGAGAGAGAGAGAGAGAGAGAAAGGTGTGACCTTTTTCTATAACTATATTAAATAATTATATATATATATATATATATATATATATATATATATATATATATATATATATATATATTAAAATAAGAAAAAACCTCATAAATGGTCAATGGGGTAGTGAAATGACGAAAATGCTCTTCACTTAACGGTAGAAAACAAACAGAGTTTGGCATAAGGACCAAACATCAAAAGTTTTGAAACCATAGAGACCATCTGTGATGTTTTTTAAACTTAGGGACTAACCTTCAGATTTTGTGAAACCATAGGGACCATTTATGAAGTTTTGTCTATATTTAATAAGTAAAAAAATGTATTTATTTTATCTAGACAAAATTGAAAAAATGGTCCCTGTGGTATGCATTTTTTTGGGGTTTTAGTCCAAACCCCGACTTTTTGGGTTGGTGGTCCTTTTGAGTTACTTTGCTTGCAGTTTTGGTCCATGTCCAAACTAAAAAGACTATTATACCCTTAATGAATTTATTTTTCATTTTTCTTTCACTTTTTAATATTATTATTATTATTAAATATAAAAGTGGGCCCACTTATCCTCTCTCTCTCTCTCATCCCTTTTACCCCTTCTCTGTAATTATGGCATCCTTTCTTCTCCGGTCTTCCCTTTCTTCTCCTGCTGTCAAAAACTAAATGCTAGAATCCAATTTGAAACCATAGCTCACAATCCCTTCTACACACACACACAAAACATAGACCCACAAGGAGGCTTTTAATTCCCCTTTCTTCTCCTGCTTTGTGTTTCTTTTAAAATCGATCAGATCATGAGAAATTAAATCATTCATAGGAATTTTCAAGGTCATCAAGGGAAAACTAAATCGGATTTTATAGAATTGTAAATATACATAAGAATCAAAGCAAATCTTCACAATAATCAAACCCATTTGAAGATATGATTGCTCTAGATTTCAGTTGTTACGGATATATAAACCTACTTGACAGGTTGTCGGGTAGTCGTCGTTTCGTTGACAAATGTACGCGGTGGTGGTTGGCTTTCTGGGATTAATGTTGATTCTGAAATGGGTTTTGAAGAGTGTGAATATATTGATTTACGAGAGGAATTTGGAGAAGAAGAAGAGGGAGTGTCTACCACCAGGTCGTATGGGTTGGCCGTTCATCGGAATCGGAGAGTCGCTTTTCCGACAGAGCAATGCTTTTCTTACAGTTCAGGGTGTAGATCCAGAAGTAATAGATGTTAGTTGGAGGAGGATTTCTTGTTAAATCTATTGCTGACAACGGAAAATAAAGGATGAAGTGTTACCATGGCTTCAGGGACCACCCAATTTCTTCACAGCCCCTGCATCTATCTGACACCACACCATGAACCACCACCCAACTTGTAATTCGTATATGAAAAATCATGCCCATAACAATCCCAACAATTAAGCCTAGATTCATAAGCAATATTGAAATACAAGTTAAACGTAAGTGTGTAACAGATTTGTGCTTAACCCTGTAAAAAGTTCACCAGAAAATACAAGTTAAGAAGAAAAGTGCAGAGACGATTTGTTGACAGACGGTAGATGTAATTGATGAGAGTGAAATCTTCTTCAACTGTACATCGGCCTCTTCTAAGATCTTCAATCGTGCTTATTTGATCATCTTCTTCACTGCCACCCATTTCTACATAATTGTTGTTCATTTGATCGTCATATTCTTGATCTATGTGTGTTATAGATTTTCAGAGAGAGAAAAAGAGTAAGAAAGATAAGCTGGGGATGCTTTTTTGAGAGAGAGAGAGAGAGAGAGAGAGAGAGAGAGAGAGAGAGAGAGAGGTCCTCTATTATTTTTTAATTGTTAAAATAAATAAATAAAAATTAAATTTAAAAAAATGAAAAATAAATACCCTAAGGTTATTATAGTCATTTCAATTTTCGGAGGGACTATTTTTTCACATACAAACTAGTCCAAAAGGACCACGAAGCCAAAAAAGTCGTGGTTTGGACTAAAATCCTAAAAAAATGCATACCACATGGACCATTTTTGCAATTTTGTCTTTTATCTAAAAGCTACATTTAAAAAATACAAAATTGATACCTGCTTTCCAAGGCATTGGCTATCCGTAGAAACACACATTTACGCAAACGAAATCTTATTTTGAAATCGTTTGGCTGATAGCCACAATTATCCGTAAAATAACCGTAAACTAAGACGTTCATCTCATTCTTCACGATTTTTGTTTAACATCGGACGTCTTGTTAATAAAAAAGTTGGATCTAGATGTATTAACATGTTCGTGCAATACTTGTACATCATACTGACGAAGATATCATCATCATAATCGTTGGACAAATTAAATGAATCCATTTTTTATTTTATTTTAGAAAAGTATTAAAATTTTATAAAATATAAAGAAAAAAAGAATGGTGAGAATGAATTTAAGGTAAAAGGTATGTATTTATAGGTAAAAAGATTTATTATTATTTTTTAAAAAAGTGACCGTTAATTGGTCTAAGAAAGGGCACAAATTCAATTTTGGATCGGACAAACACATGTTGCAAGCTGTTACCGTGGTAACGTCAGACACCATAACGCCATCTTGGAGTGGTGTTTCAGGTGTTACTACGCCGTTAAGAGCCTCAATGTCCGTAATAACTCCCCAAAACCGCCTGTACCCAACACTGTTAATGAATATACTAGATTAATAGTACAAAAATGATATCGATTTCAATATTATTTACATAAATGATATGTATGTCGCCGCCCTTTGTATTAAAAGAAAACACACATTTTTGTATGAAAGTTGTGTTTTATGCAAGAACTATTTTTGGTTTATGTTATGCCTTGTGAACAAAAGATATTAGATTGTTATCATCTAAAGTTCTAAACGTGAATACATTACTTGTTTTTGTAATACGTTATTACTTCTTGTATTCAATTCTTACCGATACGAACTAAACTTTTACCCTAAAATAGTAAAATATCACTTTTCATTTGGGAATTGGGAATTAGGGTTTGAAAGGTTTGTTTTTTGATCCGCTTAGCAATAGAGTACTTTAAGTCTAAAGAGTAACCAACTTTCAAAGATCGTGAGGGGTTCGTTATTGTAGATTATCACACTATGCAGAAGCTATTCTCCCTCAAACTAATTACCAGAAACCCAAGAAAAATTGCTTCACAAACCTTACGATCAAACCCATTCCCTCCCCACCGGGCCCCCGATGTGCCCCCACATCACCACCACCTCCACCACCGTGGTTTCTCTCATTATACCACTTCTCCACAGCCATTGCAGCAAGCACCCACCAACTGTTTGATGAAAGTCCTTTCAAACCAAGTTCTTCTAAAGCGGCTCTTGCCTAATGCGCTTTTGAAACTGAAAGCCACAAGCAAAATTTTCGTGGATCATGGTGAACTTGGGTTTGTAAGAGCTCAATTCAGAAGACAAAGCTTCCAATTCGACCAACCTATTAGTTACCAAAAAACATGGTAATTGCTTTTGTCTATCTTCTGTTATCAATATCACCAACGATTTATTCCACAATTGGAGTCTATTTCTTTCTGTCTTATTTTTGTACCCCAAAAATATTCCCATTTCATGTAATTGACGCCATATCCTCAAAACCTTTCTTGGCTCAATTTGGATGGATGAAAGTTAAGGACTCTAGGAAGAACACATTTATTTTATTGTTAAGTGTTGCTACACGACATAAACTGATAAACGTTTCTAGTTTTTTCCCCTTTCTTAATAAAGAGATCAGTCTACAAATCTTCTTATTGACACAGGCAGTCGCAGTTTAGAAGGAGACTCACCAGCGATGGTGTGGTAATAGGTTTAATCGTGACAAATGTAGCTGTGTTTCTGCTATGGAGAGTTGCTGATCGTAAGTTCATGATGCAAAACTTCATGGTGAGTGACTGAGTTCTCTTTATGCTTATTAACATCATAACCTAATTCTTTTATGAGTATTACTTTATTTGAATTATATCATTTGTACAGATACAATTGGACAACTTCAAAAGTGGACGATTCCATACTATGATAACTGCTGCTTTCAGTCATATTGAAGTTGGACATATCATCTCAAATATGATTGGGCTTTATTTCTTTGGCAGGAGTGTGAGTGTGCATGCCTTTAAATGACTGATACGCTTAAAACGTTTTTAAGAAAATAACACCACACTCGAGAAATGGAAGGGCAAATTCGTAAAGAGTTAGGAGCTAATGGGGGAAACCTCCTTTCCTGACTTTCTTTCTGTATTAAGTCAAAAAAAAAAAAAAAAACCATAGTTTTGTTAACTTGTCCTTTTTGACAAATAATTGAACAGATTGGACAACAATTTGGGCCTGAATTTCTGCTGAAGTTATACTTAGCTGGGGCTTTTGTTGGTTCAGCCTTCTTTTTGGTGCACCATGCTTTTCTGGCTCCATCATCAAAGGTAAGTTGTTGCATGAATTGGTAAAAGAGTGAAACATTTATTAATCGGTAAAAAAGCGAATGTTTGTTGCATTTTTTGGTAAAAAGGTGAAACATTGTTGCATTAATTAGTTAGATGATGAAAAGTTGTTGCATTAATTAGTAAAAAGGTGAAAATTTGTTGCATAAATTGGTAAAAAGGTGAAAATTTGTTGCATTAGTTGGGAAAAAGGTGAAAGATTGTTGCATTAATTGGCAAAAAGGTGAAACATCGTTGGAACTCATCCGTAAAAGGTGAAAGATTGTTGCATAAATTGGTAAAAAGGTAAAACATTGTTGAATGAATAAGCATTAAACCAAAGCCATGTCATGAGGCCACGGGTGTTACAATTATTTGGTCTCAATGGTTTCATTATTTAGTCTAAAAAATCACTTTGCTGCATAAATTAAGAATAAAAAGGTTAAAACATTATTATTGCATAAATGATAAAGCAAAACATATATTGATATATTTTATCGTTTGTTTGATAAATACAGGACAGACGATTATTCGAATCCGACCCTTCAAAAGTTCCAGGGCTGGTATGCTAACATTCCTATTTAAAAAAAAAAAAAAATAGTAACACTGACACATGATATAAACAATATATGAGTTTGCAAATTCAATTCTGTGATTTTAGGGAGCAAGTGGTGCAGTGAATGCTATTATGCTTCTTGATATATTCCTTTACCCAACAAAAACTATATATCTTGAATTTATCATACCTATTCCTGCAATCTTACTGGTAAATAAATTGACTTTCATTTTTAATGCAACAATCATATAAATTTCGTTTTTTGACTTTTCCCATTGTTGCGTGTGATTGTTTCAGGGGATATTTTTAGTTGGGCATGATATGATGAGAATACTAGAGGTACCATAATTTATTTTATATGTTAGGGGTTGTTTGATATGTCTCTTACTCGGTCTGGTAAGAGGTTGAATCTGACTCGATAAAATTCAGACAGTTTGATACCATGCTTGGAAGCTTATGACTCGGTCCTGACTCCTGTAAAATGCCTCTTACTCGGTTAGACTCAGGACCGAGTCTTATCAGAGTCGGGGCTGAGTCTTACTCAGTCAACTTTGACTCAACAACTATCAAACAATCCTTTAGTCTCTTTCTTTTTGGCTTTATACAGAAAGAAAGAAGAACTTAATACAGAAAGTTAGGTAATTACTATTACGATGAATTGTTTCAGGGAAATAGTCAAATCTCTGGGTCTGCACACTTGGGTGGTGCTGCGGTGGCGGCGATAGCTTGGGCACGGCTGAGGAAAGGGCGGTTTTGACTTATGAATTCTTTTAGTTAAACTAGATTTATTTGACTTAAAAAGAGTATATAGATTCTATTCTAAGATAGCCTAAGGGTGTTGTTTTTGCCTAACTTTCACACTCATTTGGGCCTATTTATTAGGGAGTTTAAATATTCAATTCTTAACTATAGACTAGAGAACCCATTTGATTGATCCTTGTATTTAATGGGCCAAGTTAAATAGGGTTTAGTTCATGGGTCTCATTTATACTTTATAAGAGGACTAACAATGGTTTTGAGTTGAAAATAGGTTTGAAGTTGGACCAACTACAAGCTCTATCATATGTACTTGAACGGATTGCTTTTATAGGTAGTGTACCATTAAAAGCATTTTACATAGTTTTCTACCTAGGTATTTATACGTCATATTGAACCTATTAAAATATTTTTCTATGATTCCAAAAGAAACATCATCATGACAAACAACAATAATAACGAACCAAAGTTTTTTCAAATAGAATAAGAGGTAGGCAACCTCTATATGTGGAAATACTATTTTCATCGACGACATTCGACATAAAATAATATGAACCCATACCGGATGATTTCATGCATATTTAACGTCTGTCCACAATAAAGAAAAAAAGAAACAACCATGTATGACTTAAGTTAAAAGCAAATAAGCAACAAAACTAAAAGAGGAACAACAAATTTTGGGATTTAATAATGAGTGATGTAATTTCGATGTAGTTTGTAACGTCGCAACAAAAGTTGGCGAACCATTTGATAAAATGTTTGGCCCAGACTTAGCGTTCAAGTCGATGACAGGGTGAGGAGACGTCCAAATCCCCTCTAACATGACACTGGGGGATGAATTCAATGAAGAAAGCTCACACTTAAGAATTGAAACACACGCCCAGGTTAATAATTTGTTCGGGCCTACAGTGGGAATGTTGAATGTATATATTCTTAATAATTCATTTGATAAAATGTAAGCAGATACATGAGTAAATGAATTACATATATGATCGTGAAGTGTGGTCGCACTTCAGGAAGTTAGGACTTTGCTTTTATACGATCAAGAATGGATTGGGAGACTCGGTTTAATACTAGTGTAAGGATCTTCAGCTATATGATCTATTTAAACATATTTTTCATGTTTACAAATGAGTTGACGGGTTCAATTCTTAGAACACCCAATTCTCGAATATTTAGAATGTGTTATATATTAATATGAAAATTCAATCTATTCGACATTTTTCATGTATGCATAAGTTTGGTTTTTCAAATCTTGTTGTGTAGATTCATGGTTACACTAAAATTGGGGGTGGGGGGATTCTTGGTGATTTTAGTATAACTATATCATTTTAGTACAATTGGAATTTACAATATTATCAATATATTTCAAGTCTTGATTTTAGACAAGTTAGGAGGTGCGGGGTGCAAATTTGTATATAACGAGTTTGTTCTTGTACGACCGTACGACCATATTGACAGAAATAGTGAGTATTAAAACTATTGATGATGACTATTTAATTTTATTAACAATCAGGTAGAAAGCATCATGAAAATAATGAGTATTCAAACTCATGAGTGATCATTTATTGCTCATAAATGGTCGGTTATCAATAGATTTTGAACTCATATAAATAATCTAGTACATGATTTGTTATGAGTGCCATGATTTGAGATTGTTCCTTGAAAGATTATCATCATAATTTAGATTCTGTGATACCAAAACATAGGGTCAAAATATCATATTCGATTAGTGATTTACATGACCCTTTATGTAATCCAGGAAACCTCTCACCCTATATTCCTCCCAAACGCCAACAAACAAACACACACAGGCGGATCCAATGTAGAGCTCGGGGTAGCCCAAGATGGCCCTTAATTTTTTTTTTTCAGTAGTGTAATTTTTTTAGAAAAATTCCGTTTTATGTAGAGTATATATATACATAATATAAATGTGTTTAGCGAAATAATAACAAAAGTTGTAGTTGGTTCAGGTGATTATGATATTAGGTTGTTTTTCTAGAGGTTACAAGTTCGAATTTTCTTCCTAATATATTTTTTTTCGCAGCTATATAAAAGGATTTTGTATAGCATTATACGGATTTTATATCGATTATATTAAGATGTTGTGAAAATTAAACACAAGTACCGAGTTGTTCAAATGGTAAAGCGCTAAACTTTTAACTTGGATGTTCCTATTTCAAATCTCAACCTTGACATATGCATATTTTATTTTGTTTATCAGTTTCTAATCTATATTCCTTCAACTTGTTTCTTATAATTCTAAAATTGTCCCAAACTAGCCATAACATGAAACATAGCTCATATACATCTGTTATATAAGCAACATAAACTTCTCAATTCTCAAAATACTAAACTTTCGAATGAGCTTGGTTTTAAACCCGAAACCGAATTTGAAAAACCGATTCTCAACAGACTAAAATTTCGAATGGGCTTGGTTTTAAACCCAAAATCGAGTTTAAAAACCAAGAAAACGAACCCATCGATTTGGGAGACCCCTTTACTTTGATCCTACCTATACATACATACATACATACATATATACATACATACATCTGTGTCTCATGTTCATTAAACCAATATTTCATAATATATTTGTATGTCTTTTTTGATCTCCACGGTGAACATTGAATATGAGTCCTTCGGAATAAACCAAGTTCACTCTGAGATACTTAAACAAGAAGAATATTTATTGGAACGAAATGTCTCTTACTAAAAGAGGTATGTTAACTTGACGATGAATGTTCTTATTCATCCTCTCCTGTTCAACTCTTAGAGCTTGGACATTAGGTCTTCCTCAATTGTAAACCTTGTGACGAAGTCCTGAATCCTATCTTGGATTTATCCATCCTGAAACGTTTCACAGTTTGATATATGTATGTACTTTTAGTGAGTCCATGATTTTTTGACCCATCTCTGTATATCTTGATTCTCAATATATATGTCGTTTCTCTTAGATATTTTATATAGAAACATTTACACAACAAAAACTTGACACAAAGCATATATTATAGTACCCGTTAATAAATCTAACTAAGAAATATAATCCATAATTAAAGTGAGTTATCCTATTAAGAATTAATCCTTGGTGTACCCTAATTTATACTGGAAACGCTTTGTGTCGTTACTCTTTTTTCAAACACAAGTCATAAACCAACATTATATATCGTGTATAGCCCCGATCTAAATCCTTGGAACCCTTATAGCTTTTAGGTGTTCCTCCATATCGTGTTCTATGGTACGTCATTATACAAATATGAAGCCAAATTATTTTTAAATACAAGTATTTGGTATCTTAATCTAGTGGTTACCATTATTTATCATATGACGTTCATCGAAATCACAAATTCTAAATTATTGAACAAAAATAACTAATACTTAAAAATACCTTCAAATCACAGCCACACACCATATATAATCGTACCATATATAATCGTTTAAATGAATGCTTACATCAAGAATTAATAAAAAAGTGAATATAAATCTACATACACACACCTACAATAGTGGGGGGTAAGGTAACAACACCGTCTTGTTTTTGCCTCTCCTTCCTTTTCGAGTTTATTTCTTCTTTATACCTTCAAAGTTCTTCCTTTCTCCTCCTTTTTTTTTCGAGTTTATTTCTTCTTTATACCTTCAAAGTTCTTCCTTTCTCCTTTTTTTTTTTTTTTTTTTTTTTTTTTTTTTTCTTTTTCGAAATTTCTATAATAGTAAATATTACACCCGTGATAGTGTTTGTGGTGGGAGGTGGTTCGGAAAAGAGTTTCACTTTGATTATTGTGACAATTATTTCCGTACAGTCTGTAACATGAATACGAAATTGTTTTGCAGGTCGATTACCCCCATCATGTATTTGCTATGAACACGTCTTATCATTGAAACATCAATTATTGTTTCACTTTCATTGATATTGATTTAAATCCAAATCAAAACTCAAAGTATTCAATTATTATTCTTTTTGTCTCTAATTTCAGAGGCAAAGTTTGAAATAATATCTGCTACAAATTTTGTTTAAAGAGAGAATCTTTTGTTTCTTGGTATTTCCACATTAGTATGTGTACCTTCAATTTGTTCCCGTTTTTGGAAAGTTGGGTTTATGCAATAAAGAAGCCATAGGGTTATATTTGACACAAATATTAGCTGACCTTTTTAAAAGTCAAACAAAGTGCATCTTTTTATCATTAAGTTTTCTTTTATATTAGGGAGGTGTTTGTGATTACTTTTTAATCTTTAAAAGTTCTTTTTTTAAAAGTTATTTTTTGACTTTAGCTTTTAAAGAGAAAAAACCAAATGTTGTTTTTAAAAATGTTTGTCTTAGCTTTCATCTTCAAAGTGACTAAAAGTCACAAAAAATAGAATTTCCTGACTTTTAAAAAACCATCATTTTTTTTATTGACAAAAAGTTGTTTTCAAAATCACTTTTCTGGTTGTCAAACATCTTTTTAAATTTTTTGACTTTTTAAAAAATTGAAAAAGCAAAAAATCATTTGAAAACAATCACAAACACCCTCTGTGTTTTTGCTTTTAATATATTTCCATTGAACTCTTCGTAACTAATACTCTTTATTTATAAATAATAGATTACCATAAATAAATAGATATACAACCATTTTTAAATTTTAATATTTGTTAAACAAACATAAAAAAATGTAACTTTTACAATATGTATATATGCACACTTTTTTGGAATATGCACCTGCATATTTTTCAATTAAAACATCACGGATGTATTTTTATGTAAACATCTTGAGAATTCGTAAAAAAAGTAACATTTTTAACGTACACATATCTAATATCTAACATAATAAATGAAAATAATTTTTTAACAAATGTCATGCTCTCAATGAATTTGACACATGTCATTTTTTGAATTAATTTTTTTTCCACTTGACATTTCTTTTGTTTTCCATTTTCTTAAATTAAAAAATCCACATTAAGCAAGAGTTTATTACATTATATATGTAATATATTCCTTCTATTAAAATTGACAATAAATGACAATAAATTCTAAGAGACGTTTCTTTCTTTCATGATTCTTATCTCCTACAATTAAACCTAAAATCACTAATATCACGCTTAAATTTATAACAAATTGATTCTGTCATTTCAATTCCACAGCTAATCCTAAAACCTTTCCAAATAATATCGATGATGAATTTTAATCAAGGATTTCGGAAAAATTATATATATTGAAGTTGTAATCGATCAGAATCAATAGTTGTCGTTCGAGTTCCATGTGATGATACACATATCATGTAGATGTAATCGAGATCTGGCGAGATGTGTC